TAGATGCTTTTTTTGCAGAGCAGCAGGAGATAATTTCTGCATTTCATTAATATGTGAAGCCTAAATGCTGCTTTCACATGATCTTTCTTGTGATAGGGAGGTACTCTGTAAATGGTCTTAAATGTTTCCCTTGCTTGGTGAGCGCAACAGTGATAAAAAAATCTAAAAAAAAAATAAATCATGAAATGGAAGCCAAATGCTCTGTAACATGAGCCATGCTAGCTCAAAACACCTATTTCATGTAAGCTCCCTGTGTTGCTCCTGTTGTTTCTCACCCAGGTGACGTAAGACAGTGTTAGGTAAGGCAATGCAAAAATCACAGTAACACACTCGTTTATCATAAATGCTGTTGTTGAGTCAACAATACAGCCTACAGCATGCCCAGGATAATTCTAAAGTAGAATATTACCCAAATCCACAAAACCAGATTGCTTCTTGCACATAAATTTCTTCAGAGCTTGCCTGCATGTTTCTACAGCAACTTCCACCATTGGCCTACACCAAAGGACTTAAGATACAAGAATTCATCCCTGTACAGCTGAACTGTGGCAATGTTTTGTATGAGTTGTTCTTCTTGGCAGTAAATAATTCAAAGTATTTTAAAACTCCTTCACTGAGGAGAGACTGAATTTAGCATTATGCAAACAGAAATGAGAAGTCCACATTAAACACTTTCTCCAGGCACTGGAACACTCAAAGTTGAGTAATTATGACTCCCCGTGGTTTCACAGGTTAAGAGAAACTAAAGAACAACTTTGAAGTTGCTTGTTGATGTCACAGATTTAAGTGTTTTATGTACTTGCCATACCAAGTTCCTAAAATAAACTGTTTCAGAGAAGTTGCATGGGGAATAACGGCTACCCAGCCAAGGATCTTGTTTTCTGCAGTGTTTTCAGGCAGTGTAAGAACAGAACAGAGTGGTTATGTCCCCTTCATACTGCCCCTGCCCCCAGTAACTAGCACCACATGAACCTCCTGAACTAGAGGCTTCATACCAGACATTCACACTCAATAGGTATGGATCGACCTCTGAGCCCGTCCAAATCAAACGTGATCTGTGGTTTAAACTGCTATTGCAAAGAACTCTATTAATATCACATACTTTTAGTAGTTTTACAGCAGAAATACATGAAAAACATTTCAAAGTTGTTAAACTTACTGGCAAGGGAAAGAATTCTAATCAGCACCATTTTCTTCAGGTCAGTTTATCTTGAATATGAACTAGTAGGCATATCTATGAGCAGAAGACAGGAGTATCTAAGGCAAACAGTCTATCCCCAAGCCTTGCAGCGTCAGCAGTCAAATGACCCCAGGAATCTCTAAAAATACCAACTCTCATTACTTTCTGTCAGGTATGGTAAATTTTTTCTAGAATTTTTACAATGAAACAAAGAGAAAAAAAGCCAGGTACGTTGGAGCCATAACATCACCACCAGTGGAGGAGTGGAAGCCTTTGTTTCCACTCTCTCATGTCTTTGTAGGCAATCTTTATTTTTTGCTGGATATGTGTTTCTGCAAAGTGAATAAAGAATTAGAAATCAATTTAATTAAACTCAGTAATAAACTTTTTTCTTTTCCAGGTGTTAAAAACACTTAATGATTCAGATTTAGTTTGCAAAAAGTTATGAGGTGTTCATTTAAAATCTCAATGCAAGAAATTGCTCAGGTACTGCAAAGAAAACCAAAGGCAAGCCTACACAGGCAGGGGCAGGCAGGGCTGAGTTCTTTTGCCTGTTTTGTTCCCAGCTGGCCAGACAGAAACCAGCTCCAGCCCAAAACACACAATCATTTTCATGTGATGTGTCCAAGCTAATAGGCCTTATTTAGATACAACACTGCAATAATACTTCCACACAGCCACAAGATCAGAGCAGTCTCCTGTCAGATGTCTCAGTGGCCAGGCAGCTGAGCTCTGTCCTGCACCACACATGCTGGTTGGAAAGCTTTTATCATTTTATGGGAGTTGCTTTCCCTATAGCAAGTGACAATTCTTACATCAAATCCCCTGCTTTCAAGATTGTAAATATGTAGCTTAAGATATTGGACCAGAAGAAATTAATATCTAGTTACAAAGAAATCTGGGTTTAGTCCTAGTAATTCTTGCCCTGACACAAAGCTCCTCTGAAATCCAGTGGGACTGTTCTCATGAGCAATGTCTAGTGGTAAGATTCTTACAACCAGCCCCTTGTCAATATTTTATTTTTGAAATTAAATTGCTTATACTGCAGTGCTGAAGTTTCACGGGATTCCATATGCAAACAAATACCAACAAGCATATCAGCACTTCTCTAAACACTGTTTCCTGAAGTACTTAATGCAAGTCTACTGCTGGAGATGTTTCACATACCAGGTTATGCACTGAGCTCACAGCACTACAAGTACACTTATAGAAGCAAAGTCTAATTTTACAAAGGCTGCAAAATGATGTGTTCAATTTTTGACATGAATAATCACCTCCAGGAGCCAGCAGCCTGTGTGTCTACATCCTACTTGGTCGCCTGGTCAGAGAGCAAAAAGCAAAGTCAGAATGCAATTCTGGACTTTTATTTTAAAGGTAATGGGAAATTTTGCTCTCAGGACACAGCAGCACCAGAAGCTGGCCACTTACAAAACACCCCATCTCATCCCACTCTGTCTTGCCATACAACAGTCTCAAAATACAGGACAACAATGTGCAGTGTATTATGTATCCCAAAATCACACAGGTAGTTCAAGGATTGCCTCCCCTTGCATCTACTTTTTTTTTTGTCCCGTTTGCTCCTGACTGATTTTAATAAGATACATAAGATGTTAACAAGATACATAAATATGCTTATTTCACCATGTCAGGATTAGATTTAGTTAATTTGTTTTTTCTCTAGTCACACATTTGAATTGACAGACATGCGTTTTAACAGAAACAGCATTTGTTTTTAACAGAAGTACAAATTCAATACAGAGTAACAAGAACTAGATTTCAGCATTCAGAGTTCTCAAGTAAGAGTTCAAGAGAATAGAAGCTTGGAACTGTGATAGAGGAAACTTCCACTAAGTACACAAGTCCAATTTCCAATTAATGTAAACTAAAAGTGCCAAATTATAATCTAAAACAAAAACATCCCTCATTCTCTCCCCTCCCTGCCTCCAGCATTTTAACAGTATCCAGCCCAACTTTTTCTGAAGTTGGTTGAGTAAACAAAGAGACAACTGACATTAAGATAATTTCAAAAAGATAGAAAATAGGACTAGAGATGAGGTTTAGTGCAGTTTTGCTACAATTAACTGATGTATTTATGCCTTGAGGGACATGTAGGTAAGGAAAGCAACCATGACAATGCAGATGTATCCTCTGTTCAAACATTACGGTTTCACGAAATAACCTTTTTCCTACATGAAAAGCACATTCTACTAAATATATATATATAAAAGCAAATAAAAGGCAGAGTTTCTAGGAAGACAGACAGCTAGCTATGAAACTTCCTAAAGAAATCTCGGTTTACATGCATACAGGAATGAGCTTTGTGTCCAGAACGTCTTAAAATTTAAACAAATGAGAAGAGTACACTAGTACAGTTGCAGATGCCTGTAGTCTGGAAAGGATCAGATCAGTGCAGATTTACATCTTCCCAGAGCAGACATGCAACAAGCTGCAGCAGTCCGAGACTTACTCATGCTAAGCATTCTACAGTAACAGGTCAGGAGAAGAAAAAAGAAGGAAACAAAGAGAAAAGTTGAATCACACCCTACTTAAAACAGTTTTTCTGGTACAAAAATCTTCATGTAGGTTAAGGTCTACACAGAAGGATATAGCTGCATAAATGCTAAACCTCTTGGTTTAAAAACGACAGAGGAAACCTGAAGAGAAAAAGGGAACTAAGTTTGTAGGAGAGAGAAACAAGAAGAAAACAGGAAAACAAAACCAAATGTAAAGCATTAAAAAAAGCTTATGAAGGAAAAGATAAATGAGAACAAAAAAAGGCAGTGAATCAGAATCACATCTAGACTAGGATTTAATTAATATTGAACTTCATTTTCCCTTTGCTACCAATCTATTTACATCTAAATTATCAATAGCTGTATCTGTAGCCATAAAAAACCCCAAATAAAATATCTTCCCTTAGTTTTTGAATTGCATCCAAAAATAGTTAAAAACATTTCAGAAGCAAAAGATTACAAATTGGGGAACTCAGAAAAGATTTGCAGCTATCAATGAAGATAAAAAACAGATACAGACCTTTGCAAAACAGGAAAAAGTATTTTGCAAAAGGATATGGTCAAACATGAGAGGCAGCTGGAGGCTAAAACTCAGGTAATGAATGCTGAAATACATAAGAAAAGTATTTCCTCTTTTATAATTTGGGGTGGAGGGTAGTGAAGAGAGAAGTAATGTTCCCACTTCAAAGTTCCCCTAAATTTTTATGAAGGGTAGTCCTTCCAGCCTACAGCCACTACCAACCAGCTGCTTTACTAGAAATCTCATCATTTTTGGTACCCTTTAAAATTCAGGTAAATAATCCAACCCAGAAAATAATCACCAGCATAGACCAAACATTTTGAAGAATTCCAGAAAAGGCTGTGCTGAAGATGAACTCAGGGAACTGAAGACTGAATGCTATACAGTTAATAGAGACTTTTCCACTGAAATATTATACCCATGCTCCCAACAACAGATGAGCATTCCTGAACTACTTTGCTACCAGAAAGTATGCACTTTATTGGCCTTATCATTGATAAGACATTGCTCAGGCCTTCCTAGTGCTCTAAACATGAAAATATTAAGTGAAAACACAACCGAAGCCCTGAGCAACACTAGAGGCATCATGATACACATACAGTTGTTATCTGAGCTGTCTTGAAGGTATCTGTCAAAGTCTCTCAAGCTGCCAGAGACAGATGACCACAAGAATGCCCTGTTCTCCCGTTACCCCTCAAGGTTTTTCCTACGGCAGTGCAGCCAGTACTCTACCGACTCCACTTTGTTCTGCAGTGCTACAGCAAGTGTGGCCCTTCTCCTTACTCACCATGGGGGATAGATGTGGATGACATCCTGTGGTCTGCTCTTCAGGTGAGCTGCTGTCTCTCTTGTGAAGAGGACCTTGAGTATCGGTTCCTCTGCATTGATGACAGCATCCTCAGGTGAAAGCGTAGCAGGAGACTGTTCCAGCTGCTGGCAGATGGCAACTTGTATCGTGCACTCCTCAAATATTTCTAAGATCTTCACAATTAAAACACCAGATTTATCTAGGAAGAAAGTGAAAATAAAAAATAAAAATGCAAAGTCTGGATGAGGAGAATGAAAGAAGTTCTGGCACTCTAAAGATGTGCATCCCTCTGTGCTCTGCACATCTGTCCAACCGTGATAAATCGACATATGAGTAGAATACACAGCCTTATTGAAAGACCTATGTTGAGCTTTTGCAGTAATTTTTGTTTTCTCTATAGATACTATTAATTGTAAAGAAAAAATCCCACCTGCACTTCTTCCACATATCAATGAACTCAGAAACTCCCTACAAGAAGCCCTCTCCCACCACATCTCAACTTTCAAAACTTGCAAATCATTGACTTTGTTCAGTCTTTTTTATTAGATACTGCAAAAAATGCATTTATTTAAAAACAGAATAATCGAACACTGTGTTAAAAATGAAGTTGTGTTTGCCCTTCTTGACCTTTCTCAAAGCAGCAGCTGTCAAAAACCAAATTGGAAGAATACAAAGCATCTAAAAGCTGATGAGTCACTCTGAGGGACAAATGTGGAGAAAGAAGGAGTAAGATGCACTGCCTAAAAATAATTATTGCAAAACTGATCATCCATTTTATCAGTGGGCAGTCAGGGTAGTCAGAAGGCTCTGTTGTTTTAAAGCAACATGAACAGATCAATTCTTAGCAATTTCATCTCTGCTGAACAAGAAACAACTTTGCACTGAAATGAAATTACCCTGGGTCCCTTTGCACTCTGCACAGGGCCGCAGCTACTCAGACAGACTACAAGCATTTAGTGGGGCAGAAAAGGGTCCCAGAGGACAAGGGCAGCAGATCCCCAGTTCTACCCTTTTTGATTTACAAGTTGCATTGGGAAAAACATAACATCCCAAGAAAAACAGCTGATATAAATTATTGTCTTCCCACAGCAAAGAAGAAACAGGGGAGGAACAGTGAACGTGATACTGGAACTTAACAGCAGAGCTGTACTAGTTATTTGTTTGTTTATTTTAAGGCTCATTTCACAACTGTGAATGTTTTTCCTCTGGAAAATAAATCAAAATATTTGAGTTTGAGTTTATGAGAAACTTCAAAAAAAAAATTAACCCAACCCTCAAGAAATCCAAACCAAAAAAACTGGGCCCTAAAACCTTTCAAATTTATTTAATAAAGTTGAATTATACACAAGTAAAATAAAAAATTCTGTCCCTTTTTTATTAAATTTCATACTGAAACTGAAATAAAGCAATTTGGAAATATACAACTAAATTGTTCTCAAAACCACTTTCATGCGAACCCATTTTTCATCACACGCAACATGCTTCTGCAAAGCATTCTGCTTCCCCTGAACTGGTATTTTCCAGCTCTGTAAAGGGTTCCACCAGACAGTCTGACACAAAATGTACATAAGCCACTTCTGTCCAAGCCAGTACAGCCTGACCTCCTTTTCTAGATCTGAGAAGAAGGAGAATGAACCCTTTCTGCCAAATCCTTTGAAACTGACTGATGAAGAGAGATGGTTGCAGCCTGCTGCTGCTCCTCACTGCTGTCACCTTCTCGGAGAAAGCTGTAACGTCACAGTGCCACTGCAGATACTCACTACACTGAGATAATGTTTGCTTATGTGAAAATTCTGACAAGGGTGAGCAATGACTAGTTTTCTATGCCTGAAGGGAAGGGCTTAGAATATTCACAGTTGAATTCTGTTTTGCCTGACTAGCTGCAGTTGTGGTCCTCTGTCAACCCCAAGTCATTTGGCACGCATAAACAAATTCTGCTAACCACAAAAATTCTCATCCTTTAAAGTAACTAAGCATTTACCTCTTCCCTCTAGACATACAGCACAATTTGCATTTACATCCACTTTAAAAACCAAGTCACAAAAACAAAATCAGTCTCAATTTTCAAATGCACCAACAGCTTATTATAAAAAAAGTATTATGACAGCTTGTGAGAGAGACTGCTCATCGCTTCTGAACCAAGCATTTCTTACGTGCAGAATTTTATGATAATTCTTACTGGTCAGCAGCTTATATGTTACTCATTTTATAAGCTGGTTGAAGACAATGAATGACAGCCTAATAACATTTTTCTTTTAAATACCTCTGACTGTACAACAGTTAAAAATACTAGGCAAATCAAGAACTATATCTGTGTGAAAGTTTCTAAAAGACATTGGAGTAAAAAATATCCTACCATGACATCAGAGTCTCTTGCAAGCCTAAAGCTGGTGGAAACACTGGGAGCTGATTCTAAATGAAGCAGAATGCTTCTACACTAAAAGCATCTCAATTTCGACCAGTAGCCAAGTCTCACACTTGGCACACATGCACATTCTACAGAACCACAATCTATTTGTTTATTTAGATGCACAGAGATAGTTTAGTTTAATTACTCTGAAATTATTATTACTGCTGATGATAGTGTTCTCTTGAACAACATGGAAAAGCACTTTGGATTTCTGGCACATGATGAAACACCAAAGTTCAGAATGTAGCTTTGGTTTAATACATTTGGCTCTTGTATTGTTATGTCAATCAAAAATAAATCAAACATATGTGGCTGCACACTGAAGGGCAAATTTGTGGGTGAGGAGACAGGCTGGATCACTGCAAATTCTATGGTTTCCAGAGTTTACTTGTTTGTTCATCCATGTGAAAATCTCACTTTAGGGTTTTGCATTGTTCTTCTTCACCCTCAGATAACTTACATAAATTCCACTTGCTTGCTGAAGTTATCATTCACTTACTTTCATTTACAAAGCAGAGTTACAGCTCAAGAAATTCAGAAACAGATATGTGCATGTTTCAAGGCAATACCTAGTAATCTTAAATAAGGAAGAATACCTTACAATTGTATGCATTTTAAAAGGTGCTGTCAATAACTGTGCTGCAATTGTGCCCATTCTTACACTGCACATTTCTCCATTTCCCATTCTGCTGCCCAGAATACTCATGGATTTCTTCAGGGTTAGCTCCTAGGAGAATTAAGGAGCTAATTCAGCCAACTGCAAAGCTTGTTTCAGTTTACTTAATTCAAGGTAACCTTTATTCTCCCACTGAAAGACAAGTACACATGCACACTCACTGTGTGAGTGAGCACACAGCTGCCTGGATGCATTTAGAAATCTTCCATGAAGCAGCAATCAGCAATTTGAGGACTGTTTAACAAAGCTCTTACAGAATCATAGAAGATCTTGAGTTGAAAAGGGTCCATAAGGACTCTCAAGTCCAACTCCCTGCTCCTCACAGGATCACCTAATACTAAATCATACAAAAAATGTTCCTTGAAATGACAGGCTTGGTGCATGTGGGGAGCTTGTCTAGTGATTGACCATGTGTTCAGTGAAAGACCTGCTCCAAATATTCAGTCTGGCTCCAGAGGCCTCTGCAAAGTGAAATGCTTGGGGGAGATAAAGATGGAAACCCAGATCAGCCTGACCAGTGTGAGACATAGGTGCATTTCTCAGCAAAGCCCTGGGTGTCCTGAGCTCCGGTGACAGAGTGCTGCTGCATTTCACTGGTCCTGGAACACAGCCCAACATGGACAGCTGCCCCTTCCAGCATCTCTCCATAGCCTTCACAGAGTCAGCTGGAAAGTCAGAGAAAACATCCACTGACACAAGGATTGTCTGAAATATCTGGCCCTATGAGTAAAAACAGAGAGTTTATTCATCCCAGGGGCATGAAGTGTAATTCAATCACTGATACACAAGGCTTAAGGTGCCACAAAGAAAGCCAGAAAGGCACTGATAAATCTGGCTGAGTATGAATTTTGCAGAGGTATTTGAGATGTACAACGTGCCCTCTAAAGAACACCATCTGAAAGGAGGGGATCAGCCACCAAGGCCTGTAATGCTCCCTCACTTCTCACAGAATTTTCCATAAGAAGAGAAATCTTCACAAAGACTTGCAGTAACATGCTGGCTACTACTGAATCAACATATTGGTCACAGAAAGGACAGTGTACAAGAAAAATCAGGCACCAGTTAGGAGCTAGATTAGTTACATCATCCTTTGCAGAACACCACTGTGATAAATGCCACCCTTTGAAAAGCAACAGACAGAAACCATCGCTAGATGGACCATGATCAAACATATTAGTTCCTTCACACTTTGCAAGTGGTCCTGAAGGAGTGAGATCCATGAGAGAGACTGACTAGTGGGAGGAATGAGCCATTTAAGCAGGGAAGCATCTTTGGTGGAGCCTTGCTGTGATTGGTAAGAACCTCCCTCACCTTGCAGACAAGAAACAAGAAGCTCTGATAAAGATGAAGAAATCCTGATCCAAATCTGGGCATATGGAACATCAACCTCTCACTGCTACTATTAGTAAAACCTTTGAAATCACAGGGGAAGGTCTTTTTTGCAACAGTAGTAATGCAGCAAACCTGGCAATGACCTTGGGCATAATTTCCAAAAAAGCCTGATGATACATAATTGTGTGATCAAACCAGGTCTATATTGTATGCATGGGTTCAGAAAAACAACCAGTAACTTTTTGGTAGGAGAAAAACTTATTTAGAACTACTAAGAACATAGACAGTAATTCTGGTTTAGAAAGTCCCAGAGTCAGAGATCTGTGGGAGGTATTTGGGAGAATATTTTGGGAAAATACCATCAAGAGTTAGCCATTTTTATCATTTTTCTAGGCATTTTTTGTAGCTCTTGTCACTGCCAGAAACAGGATCCTAAGCTAGAGGCACTTTGGTTTCACCACCTAAGAGATCTGCTCTGACATACACAGTTAATTATTTAATTCCAGGTGTTCTCTGGGATGTTAGTTTCTCACTCCAATTTGCAACCCAGACATGAAGTAGCTCAAAGTTAATTCCAGTACCTGGGAGATGAACAAACAAATTTCACTGAATGCATCAGTTTCCTTGGGTACTTATTTTCATTTTTGTTTATTAATTTAGTACAAAGGGGGATGCTGCCCTTCAGTCATATACCATATGTCATACACCATGACATCAAAATATATTTTGATGCAGTATTTTGCAGATGTTCTGCATTTACTCTGAATTCCAGAAGGGTTAA